ACATTAGTTAATTAATTAATGATATTTATTTTTAAGACAGTCCCAGTCACCAAGTTAGGGTGCAGTGATATCATCATCGCTCACTGCGACCCAGTTTCCTGGGCTCTAGTGATCCTCCTGACTCAGCCTCTGAAGTAGCTGGGACTACATGCATGACCACCATGCCTGGCTAATTTTTCTATTTTTGTAGAGACAGGGTCTCCGCTCTTGCTCAGCTGGTTCCAACTGGCTACTGTATTTTTTTTTTTTTTGAGACAGAGTCTCACTTTGTTGCCCAGGCTAGAGTGAGTGCCGTGGCGTCAGCCTGGCTCACAGCAACCTCAACCTCCTGGGCTCAGCGATCCTACTGCCTCAGCCTCCCGAGTACTGGGACTACAGGCATGCGCCACCATGCCCGGCTAATTTTTGTATATATATTTTTAGTTGGTCAATTAATTCTTTCATTTTTGGTAGAGACGGGTCTCGCTCAGGCTGGTTTCGAACTCCTGACCTTGAGCGATCGCCCGCCTCGCTTCTCAGGCTGGTTTCGAACTCCTGACCTCGAGCAATCCGCCCGCCTCAGCCTCCCAGAGTGCTAGGATTACAGGCGTGAGCCACCGCGCCCGGCTTGTTATCTTATTTTTATAGAGCAAACTAAGACTTTGAGAGGCAAAACTACTTCCCCATGGCCAGGAAAGCAGTTATTTGTCAGAACTACAATTTAAATCCAGATCTAACAGCAAAGCCCATGTCTTGATTGACATACAGTAGTATAGGTAATTAAGCAATTCTTTATTAACCATCGGAAGAAACTGTATATATGGAGGCTATGATAAGTATTCACTTAAAGAGGCAAGTTATTCTGCTGCTATACAAAACTGTCTGAATTCAAACTTTCTATTACTGAAAAGACATCATTTTGACATGCTTATATACTGACCTGTCATTAGTTACATGCATTTATTTGGTAAAGATCCTTTTTTCTTTATTTTTTGAAAAACATAAAAATGTCAACTTTCATCTATATTTTTCATTGTAAATACCTCTATCTCCCTCCCCAGATAATCATCTGTTTATTTCAACATTTAAATTTATCATAGGATAGTTTGTGTTTCTTCCTTGCCCAACCAGATAACTAAGCTAGAAATTTGGTTATTGGCCAAAAAAAAAAAAATATTTTTCAAAATATGAACCAATGGGTTTAATACTAGAAGAGAATGAGAAGGTAATTAATTAAAGAACTAAAATTGATGGTACTAAAAAGCATTTTTTTCTTATAACATGATAGCCGTAGGTGACAATGTTAGTCTAGTTAATCCATTAGCATGTATACACCATCAACCTAACTATTCATGCATCCATCCAATTCACTCTTTTATTTAACAAATATTTACTGAATGTTTACTATTTGCCAGACACTGTACTGGGTGTTGGATAGAGTGGGATGTGGTCCCTGTCCTTAAAAGGGCTTAGAAGTCAAATGTGGTGACAGACATAAAATTATAATGTCACACTTGACAAATTGGTTATAACTGATTGGGATTGTGAAGAACAAAGCAAATTTTCTTTTTGAGACAGGGTCTCACTCTATCACCCAGGCTAGAGCGCAGTGGCATCATCATAGCCCACTGCAACCTCAAACTACTGGGCTCAAGGGATCTTCCTGCTGCAGCCTCCTGAATCACTGAAACTACAGGTGCATGCCACCACACCCAACTAATTTTTCTGTTTTTTGTAGAGATGGGGGTCTCAAACTCCTGGCCTCAAGTGATCCTCCCACTTCGGCCTCCCAAAGTGCTAGGATTACAGGTTTGAGCCACTGCATTCAGCCACAATGTTTTTAATATAAGAATATTAAAGGCTGACCCAGGCTATTTTTGACTTGGAAGTGAAAAAGCATGCCTCTTTAAGGAAAATAATAGTTCATTCAGGCCAGACATGGTGGCTCATGCCTGTAATCCTAGCACTCTGGGAGACTGAGGCGGGCGGATTGCTCAAGGTCAGGAGTTTGAAACTAGCCTGAGCAGGAATGAGACCCCGTCTCTACTATAAATAGAAAGAAATTAATTGGCCAACTAATATATATAGAAAAAATTAGCCGGGCATGGTGGTGCATGCCTATAGTCCCAGCTACTCGGGAGGGAGGCTGAGGCAGGAGGATTGCTTGAGCCCAGGATTTTAAGGTTGCTGTGAGCTAGGCTGACGCCATGGCACTCACTCTAGCGTGGGCAACAAAGCGGAGACTCTGTCTCAAAAAAAAAAAAAAAGGCCGGGCGTGGTGGCTCACGCCTGTAATCCTAGCACTTTGGGAGGCCGAGGCGGGTGGATTGCTCAAGGTCAGGAGTTCGAAACCAGCCTGAGCAAGACCCTGTCTCTACCAAAAATAGAAATAAATTAATTGACCAACTAAAAATATATATACAAAAAAAAAAAAATTAGCCGGGCATGGTGGCGTATGCCTGTAGTCCCAGCTACTCGGGAGGCCGAGGCAGTAGGATCGCTGAGCCCAGGAGATTGAGGTTGCTGTGAGCCAGGCTGACGCCACGGCACTCACTCTAGCCTGGGCAACAAAGTGAGACTCTGTCTCAAAAAAAAGAAAAAAAAAAGTAGTTCATTCAATGGGGATATATGTGAGAACTGAAAGAAGAAAACATGGAGCTGGTTGGTGTTAAGCCAAGCAAAATCACAAGAGGCCTTTTAAATCATATGATGAAATCTGGACTTTATCCTGAGTTACTATTATTATTTACAAACAACATAATCATCTATGTAGAAAATTCAATGGAATCTCAAAAAGCTATTAGAACTTAGAACTTATGAGTTTATTAAAGTTATAAAATATAAGATCAATACATAAGACTCAATTCTATTTCTATATATGAATAAATGAAAATCAAATAAAAAAATATCAGTTACAGTAGCACCAAACATATGAAATACTTAGGGATAAATCTGACAAAGGATGTGCAAGACCTGTACACTGAAAAGTATATTATAAAAATGAAATAAATTGAAAACATAGTAAAGGTATATATTGTGTTTATAGGTCAGAAGACTCAACATTTTTGTATAGAAATAGAAATTGAGAAGATGATTATAAAATTCATATGAAAATGCAAAGGACCTAGAATAATCAAAACAACTTTGAAAAAGGAAGACAAAGTTGGAGGGCTAACAAACTAATTTTAAGCTTTATTATGAAGCCACAGTTATCAAGACAGTGTTGATACCAGTGTACAGATAGACAAACAGATCAATGCAACAGAGTAGGAAGTCCTGGAGTAGATTCACACATTTATGGATAACTGAGTTTTGATAAAAGTACAAAGGCAATTGGGTGGAAAAAGTATAGTCTTCAATGAATGGTGCTGAAACAATTGCATACATACGTGCAAGAAAAAAGATCTTTGGTCCATACTGACGCGCTATATAGAAATTAACTCCAAATGGATTATAAAACTAAATAAAATTTACAGTGATAAATCTTCTAGAAGAAAACATAGGAGAAAATCTTTGTGACCTTGGTTTAGGAAAAAATGCCTTAGATACAAAACCAAAAGCACAGCCCATACAAAGAAAAATTGATAAATTATACTTTATTCAAATTAAAAATGTCTGCTTTTTGAAAGACATTTAAGAGAATGGAAAGACAAGCAGCATATTGGGAGAGAATCTTTGCAAAATATGTCTCATAATGGTCTTGTATCCAGAAATTATAAAGAATCCCCAAAGGTCAATAATAAGAAAATGACACAATTTTAAAAACAGGCAAAAGATTTGAATAGGCACTTCACCAAGGAAGATATATGAATGACAAAAGAAAGATGCTTACTATCACTATTAGGGAGGTGCAAATTAAAACCATAATGAGAGACTACCACATACCTATTAGAATGGCTAACATTAAAAAGACTGACCATGCCAGGTGCTGGCAAGGAGATGAGTGACTGGATCTTTCACACACTGTTGGTGGGAATGTAATGGTATAAGCACATTGGAAAAAGTTTGGCAGTGTCTTCAAAAGTTAAACATACACCTACCATATGATGTAGTCATTCCACTCCTACATATTTACCCAAGAAAAATGAAAGTGTGCGTCAATACAAAGCTCTGTACAAAAATGTTCATAGCAGCTTTATTTTTAATAGCCCAGACTGGAAACAACCCAAATATCCATCAACAAAAGAACAGACAAACAATCCCTGGTATATGCAGACAATGGAATGTAACTCACTAATAAAATGAACTACTGACACATGCTACAACATGGATGAATCTCAAAATAATCATGCTGAGTGAAAGAAGTCAGACAAAAAGGACTATATACTTTATGATTTCATTTATATAGAATTCTAGAAAATGCAAACTCATCTAAAGTGACAGAAAGTATATCAGTGGTAACCTGGGGACAGAGAAGGGGTAAACAGGGGTTAGTGGGAGGAATTAAAAAGGGACACAAGAAAGCTTTTGGGGGTGATGGACATGTTTATTACTGCCACCATGATGATGGTTTCACAGATATATTTGCTGGTTAAAACATATTATGTTCTTTAAATATGTTCAGATTATTGTATATGAGCTATACATCAATAAGGTAGTTTTGGAAAGATACAATGTAAAAAATTGAAAGGCAAATAACATAGGGAAAATTCTTGCAAAATACGTGCCAGTTAAAAGCTATTCTTAATATCAGAGAGGTGAACACATACACACACATAAACCCACACACAAACTCAAAAGAGGTAAATAGGAAATTCAAAAATGAAATAGCAGTAGCATTTACATATGAAACATATGTAAATTCACTAATGATCAAAGAAGTAAAAAATAACAGTATACACCTCATTTCATCCACCAAATAGGCAATATAATAGAAAAAAGATACATTTTTTGGACAAGGACTTAAGGAAATCGTCATTTTCATATACTACTAGAAGAGCAGAATGGGTATGTTCTTTGACCAGTCATACCCTTCTGGGAATTCAAACAAGAGACTTTCTTTTTTGTTTGTTTTGTTTTAGCGAAAGAGGTGAGGCATAAGTACGTAGCACACGGAAGGAATATGACAGCAAAGATGGGAAACATCTGAAGGAGGTGTTGGACTTCAAGTAACTTTTTATTTCTTTCTTTTTGCTTATCTGTATTTTCTAAAATTTTTTGCAAAGCCTATTACTTCTGTAGTTAGAGGAAAAGTGATTTAAAACCTTTTATGTAATTTTAAAATCTTATTATAAAGTACTATAACAAAAAAATGTTAATATGTATATATTTCCAGAAAATAGATAAAAGGAATCAAAAACTTTAAGTAAGCTCATTTCTTTTACCTAAATAATTCTCAAAATTGTAAGCTATAACTGAGAATAATGAAAATCTATAAGGAAATAATTTGAAACTCAAAAATTGTTATAAAAATATTTAATCCCAGTTTTATTAATTCATATTTTTATTTTCCCTTTTATTTTTCTTACAAAAATAACAATTCATCATAGAAAAAACACAAAATACTATCTGTTCTCATTTTTTAAGGAAAAAGCTAAGTCATAGATCTACGGACAATACCTTTTTGTGTGTGGCACAAAATATACTGTATTGCTCAGATTCATTTTAGCAGCAATCTTTTTTTTTCCTCTTTCATAACTTCCGTCTTTTCAATTTATGGTGCACCTATGGAAAAAGAAGAGTAAAATATATAATTATAGGACCAAAATTAAAGAAATAATAATTGGTAACATGGTAGTTTTAAATGTTTGTAAATGTAATCTTCCAAAGTTAAAATTTAATCTTTATCTGTTTGTGGATGACAGATTTAAAAGGTAAGATATTCACAACAAAGACACATGCTACTTTTTCACAAGCAATACCTAGGAAACAAATATGTCGTGAGATTTCAGAATTTATGTTGAGGCTTCCACTGGTTTGTGTCTAGGGTATCTCAATAGAGACTACCGGTAAACAGGACTAATATGACAGTACGTAATAATGCTACTGATTCTCTGTCAGTAAGGCTTATATTTTGAATTGCTTTTCCAATAGGCATGATGATTTACACTGATTCATCTAGCTTCCCTTTCCCAGGCTCTCCTATAACTAATCTCTCACATTTTTGGAATAATGATTATTTTTTAATTATCTATTAAAGAAGTACATGCCCAATATAGAAAATCTGGAAAATATATCCTATTATGAAAAAAATCCATAATCCTAGTTGGGTAAAACTCCATAAATAATTTGCCATACTTTTCTCCATCCATGCACTTATTTCTTCATGCCCATATTTCTTTATTATGCAGCTAAGATATTATATTAATACATACAATTCCATAGCCCACCTTCTTTATCTAACTATATTGCAAGCATTTTGCCATGTCACCAATCACTGTTCACAATGGCTTAATGTCTGTCTTACAGAAGAAGCACAATTCATTCACAACCATTTCTCCACAATTGGAAACCGAGGCTGTATTCAACCCTTTGTTGAAATATTAATATCAAAAATTGTGTCTTGGGCTGGGCGCGGTGGCTCACGCCTGTAATCCTAGCACACTGGGAGGCCAAGGCAGGTGGATGGCTCAAGGTCAGGAGTTCAAAACCAGCCTGAGCAAAAGTGAGACCCCGTCTCTACTAAAAATAGAAAGAAATTAATTGGCCAACTAAAAATATATAGAAAAAATTAGCTGGGTATGGTGGCACATGCCTGTAGTCCCATCTATTTGGGAGGCTGAGGCAGGAGGATCGCTTGAGCCCAGGAGTTTGAGGTTGCTGTGAGCTAGGCTGATGCCACGGCACTCACTCTAGCCTGGGCAAAAGAGTGAGACTCTCTCTCAAAAAAACAATAACAAAAAAAATTGTGTTTTGAAGATCTTTGTGTATATTACTTATCTAGGTTTTAGGGGCTCTCTTGGGGATAGATTTCTAGAAGTATAGTTACTGGGTCAAAGAATGTAATAGTTTTAAAACATATATATATATATATATATGAATAATTTGTAGACACTTAACTAGTTTTAGAGATGAAGGCATTACAGAAAAAAAACAATTAGAAAAAAGGTATCAACTTTCATTTTCACATTTTTCTTGAGCATATCCTAATCTTCCTGCATGTCTATACTTATGAACTGAACTTTTTCATTATTTTTGTTATTCCCTCTGATTCTGTCTGTAGAATGCTTTAGATTAATTGGTAGCTAAAAACTTGCCTGAATTCAGTATCACATTTTACCTAACCACCAACCAGTTAGTAACTGAAATGTCCACGTATGTACCCTGCTAGTTTATTTTACTTAATTTTATTCTATTCTTTTTAGAGACAAAGTCCTGTTCTGTCACCCAGGCTGACGTGCAGTGGTACAATCATAGCTCTCTGTAGTCTTGAACTCCTGGGCTCAAGCTAGTCTCCTGCGTCAGCTTCCCAAGCAGCTGGGACTACAGGTACACATCACCATGTCTAGCTAATTTATTTATTTTATTTTTTTGTGTTTTTGTAGAGACACATTCCTGCTGTGTTGCCTGTGCTGGTCTTGAACTCCTGGCCTCAAGCGATCCTCCCACCTTTGCCTTGCATACACAGTGCTGGCATTATAGGCGTGAGCCACCGTACCTGGCCTCTACCCTGCTAATTTAGTCTGACTACAGCTTCACTGAACTAAAATATTCCTGGGCGACTTCCGGGGCCCTCGCTCTTGGGGCCCCAGAACCTCGTCCACGAGTGTATAATAAAGCCACGTGGTTTGGCCCCTTAAAAAAAAAAATATATATTCCTTATGACATCATATGAGCCCTAGTTGCTAAATTTCTAAGAAAGGAGTTTTAAATAAGGTATTTATTAATTTCCTCATGACCTAATTTTAAATGTAGGAGACGTTCACTCCTAGAAAATAGTTTTCTCATGCTAGAGACATGCATGCTTTGTATTTTTTTTCTCTAAATACTTATTCGCTTTTACATAATTTTCTTAAAATGCATACTGTCTCCATCTTTGGTTGCATAGCTCTATAAAAAAATGTTCTAAAAAAAACTCTCTAAGACTTCTAGGAATTAAACCTCAGTTTTATCTTTTTTTTCTCTTTTTCCTATTAGAATCCTCCATTGCTATTGAGACTGGAGACAGTATTCCTGAAGTTCATCCATTCAATCAACCTAAAGGATGTTTTCAGTTTTTTTTCCATTTGACCACCCCTTCAATAAAGAAGAATGTCTCCTGGATCCCATGAAACTGTCTACTGTTTTTCCAAATTATTCTGATTATAGTTCTTCTTTTCTTTGATTCCTAAATGAATGTGTTCCTTCAAGGAATTGCCATGTCCTCTGGGTGACTGTAAGCTGCTATCTTAATTTCTGTCCACTTAATGGTTTTATTTATTTATTTATCTATTTTGAGACAGAGTCTCACTCTGTTGCCTGGCTAGAGTGCCATGGCGTCAGCCTAGCTCACAGCAACCTCTACCTCCTGGGCTCAAGCGATTCTTCTGCCTCAGCCTCCCGAGTAACTGGGACTACAGGCATGTGCCACCATGCCCAGCTAATTTTTTGTAAATATATTTTTAGTTGGTCAATTAATTTCTATTTATAGTAGAGATGGGGTCTTGCTCTTGCTCAGGCTGGTTTCGAACTCCTGACCTTGAGCGATCCACCCACCTCGGCCTCCCAGAGTGCTAGGATTACAGGTGTGAGCCACTGCACCGGGCCCACTTAATGGTTTTAAATGATACTATGTCACTCACTAAACATTCCTGACCTCTATTTTAATCCCAGTCTTATATTTACACATATCTATTTGGTTTCTTCCCTTAGATGGCTCACATATACTTCACATTAACTTTGACTCTTCCCTGTCCATTGGATTCAATTAATCTCCAATTTTGCTTCAAATATTTCTTTTTACCTGTTTTTCACTTTCTATGTCTATGGGATTCATTTTCTCTCTCTGCTTCTGTTCTTTCTATAATCATCTTTCTGAGGCATAGTTCAGATAATATCACACCTCTACTCAAAATCTGTCAGTATCCCTACTTCCTACAGGATCAAGAATAACTTTACCTAACTAACCTTCAAAGCTGGCTTCAAACTACTACTCTAACTTAAATTCTTCAACTCTATAATCAGGAAAAAATGAATTATATTCAGTTACATTTTCATACAGACTTTGTATTTCATTTTATACTTTGTCTTTGCTTATGTTGTTTCTTCTGCTTACAATGTCCAAATCCCAACTATTCTCACGGTCCATCTAAATGTCACTTCTATAAAATTTACCATTTTCTCCCTTTGATTCAGTTTTTTTTTTTTTTTTTTTTTTTTTTTTTTTTTTTTTGAGACAGAGTCTCACTTTTGTTGCCCAGGCTAGAGTGAGTGCCATGGCGTCAGCCTAGCTCACAGCAACCTCAAACTCCTGGGCTCAAACGATCCTCCTGCCTCAGCCTCCCAAGTAGCTGGGACTACAGGCATGTGCCACCATGCCCGGCTAGTTTTTTGTATATATATTTTTAGTTGGTCAATTAATTTCTATTTTTAGTAGAGACGGGGTCTTGCTCTTGCTCAGGATGGTTTCGAACTCCCAACCTCGAGCAATCCGCCCGCCTCGGCCTCCCAGAGTGCTAGGATTACAGGCGTGAGCCACCGCGCCCGGCCTGATTCAGTTTTAAATACACATATTAGTATACTCTAACCAGATAAGTGCTTCTTCAGAGTACAGTACATGTCTAAGGCCATGTTTTGATTAATCATTGTATCCACATAATATTTTCTTTAAAAAACAACTTTGAGATATAATTCACATATCATATAATCCACCCATTTAAAATGTACAATTCAATGGTTTTTATCATATTCACAGAATGTACAATCATGAGCTATTTTTAGAACATTTTCATCACCACACACAAAACCCCCCAAACCCTTTAGCCCTCACTCCTTCCTAAGCAACCACTAATCTTTCTGTCTCTATAGATGTCCTCGTTCTCGATATTTCATATGAATGGAATAATATGACATGTGGTCTTACATGACTGGCTTCTTTTACTTAGCATAATGTTTTCAAAGTTTATCCAATGTGTAGCACGAATCAGTATTTCATTTCTTTTTATTGCCAAATAATATTCCATTGTATGGAAACACATTTTGTTTTCCCATTTATCTAGTGATGGACATTTGGGCTGTTTTCACTTTTGGCTATTATAAATAGTGTCACTGCAATCATTCACGTACAAGTCTTTATGTGGACATACACTTTTATTTCTCTTCAGTATTTATCTATGAGGGGAATTGCTGGGTCCTCTGGCATTTTTATATAGCAGACACTCCATAAAAATCTGTTGAAATCTCCTTCCCTTTGCTATTTTTCCATTTAGTTCAATCTTAGAACTAAAAATGATTATTCAAATTTATCCTTCCCCCAAAATGTGAACAAGGATATTTTTTCTTCCAAATGGATAGCATTTTAAGAATTAACTGAAGATGAAATGATATGCATATATTTTTTTTCTCTTTTCTTTGACCTCCTGCAACCTCAGGTATTACATTCACAATGAGAACTTAGAACTGTGCCAAGAATGTAGTATTTCAGGTCTTAGGCCCTGGGGCCAAATAAACAACCCAGCTAGCTTGGAGTAGAAGATTTCATCAGACATGTGCGACTGAAATCATTTTCCTTACTCTTTATTCTAAGAAATGGAAAACTTCCAATAGTGGTAATCAAGTAAATTATTTCTCACATTCTAACTTAATATAAGAAAAAAATACTTGATAGAAGGAATATCAATATTTTAAATAAGTTCCCTTTTCCCAGAAACTTTAAGAAAGATGATTCATAGGAAGATCGTAGTTGTCTCCCAATGTTTTAATGACACTTCTTCAACAGTAAACCAGGAGCCAACTAACTTGAAAACTCCATAATATTACAGCATTAAGAAAAGGAGTAAGAATCAGAGTATTTCATACTGGAAAGAATTTTAAAGATCAACCATTTCAATTCCCTTTTTTTTTTTATACACTGAATCTTAGGAAGGTTAAGTATTACATCACACCAATGGAGCAGTGTTACCCCAGGTTAAAATCCAGGATTTCCAATTTCCCACCTCAAAAGCTTTCTCCTGAATTGCACTCCTAAGTCGTACTTCAAAAGATCAAAAAGTTTTCCTAATTGTTATAGGTTACAGGATCGTTAGGAAAATTTTACTTTAATAAATTAGACCTAAATCTAATAATTTAGATTTAACTTAAAAAAATAAGGTTGGACTTCATTGTCATTATTTCTCCCAAAGATTTCATAATACTTAAATATATAATGGTAGATTCAGTTCTTGTGAGGCCTGAAGAGTAAACAAATTTGGAGGCCTTCTCTAAGAATATAAAATTCTTACATATAACAGGTATAAGGCCTTAGAAGGGGCTGGTACAAAGAAATTTATACCTATTATTTCATTTTCTTGCTCCCAGAGGGTAGACTGAGGCAGGCAAAAATCTTCATTTTACAGTAGTAAAAAAATGAAGTATAAATAAGCAATACAACTTTTTCACAGTCATACAGTCAGGAGTAATCCAGTGATGGTTTTTCCCTCCTCTTCCTACCACAGAAACCTTCGTATGGACTTGAGAATTGTCTTTAAAGAAAGATGGAAAAATTTTTGGTTAGTTGTTGCTACCGTCTGCCACCAATATTTAACTGTTATTCTGAGGTAAGAAAACTGCTTTTATGGTACTTTCACTTTGAAAATGAAACTAGACGATAGTTGCTTTTTATGCCACTATGATCATATAGCCCATTGTGATCATATATCCTAGCATTTAAGAGCTGAAATGGGACCTTAATGATCATCTAATTTCTACTTAGCAAATACTGCAGAACTGGCTGCGTTTTTGATTACCATAATAATGATAACCTTTAGACTACCCCTGGGTCAAATGACATTAAATAATGTGAAGAAGGTTCTTCTAGTCACTCTTTAAGACTTTATCTATGTATGCTAAACAGCAAAAATATCAATTATTTTGGTTTCTTACAGAATATTATTTTCTTCCTCCTTTTTTAAAAAAAGAAATATAGGTTAAAGAGACAGATGGGGAAGGAGAGGCCCCTTGGATCTCTTAAATTTAACACTATTTTTGTTCTGATACTCTGATATGAGGACAGCTATCTGAAATCTATTATGCATCCATTTCATAAAAAATGGTACTTAAAATTAAGTAATTGGTCTTAAAATTAAAACCAGTACAAAAATGGTGCTGATGTGTCTATATAAATTCCAAATTTTTCTAAAAGATTAGACCAGGCTTTTGAAATCTTCATTTGTACTATAACTTAATTATATATATTGAATATATGCTATAAAAACTTTAACTGTAATGCACAATGATAATTTGTTCTTAGTCAGGGTTTCTCAAACTTGATTAATATTCATTCATATCCTTTATTTAAAAATTTCTCACAGATTCCCATTTTCTTAAATTAATTTTAGTCATTCACATTCTTAATTTATTAATGTATTCATTCACTCAGCAAATATTTATTAAGTACCTAATATGTGTCCAGTACTAACAAGGCTCTGAGGTTCTTCCCTACACTCATAGAACTTACATTCTAGTGGAGAAAGACATAAATACTGTTATGTCAGATATTAATAAATATTAAGAAAAAAATTTAAATGAATAGGGTCAGTGTGCAGGATAGATCTTTCTGACATAGTAACAGTTGAGCAGACATTGAAGGCTGAGGAAGAAGTCAAGGAGTAAGCCCTAAAGATACCTGGCAAGGAAGAGCAGTCCAGGCAGAGGCAACAGTGAGATTATTTGATGTACTCCAGGAAAAACCAGAAGGCCAGCATGGGTGGATCAGAATGACCAATGGGGACATGGCAGAAGAGGAGTGAGGGCCTTTCATTACATGGTGAAGACTTTGGATTTTATTATAAGTGAGATGGGAAGCCACTGAAACATTTTGGGAGAGAAGTGACCGATGTATTTAAAAGGATCACTCTGACTATTCTGTGGAAAACAGATTGTATGGGAGCAAGGCTAAAAACAGAGATACCTACAAGACAGCCATTGCAAAAAAGTTCAGGCAAGAAATAATGGCAGTCAGTACCAATATGGTGGTGGTAGTAGAGGTAGTGAGAAGTGGTTGAATTCTGGAATAATTGAGAAGGAACAGCCATTTGGGCTTTGCTCTTGTGCCTGGAATATGAAAGAAATAGAGGAGTCAGAGATGACTCCAAACCTTGGGACCTGAGCTACTAAAAGATGCAATTGCCCATTTATAAAACTGTAATAAACCTCTTAGAGCTTTTAGAGAACTTATATAAAACAAATTCACAACCTCTTTCCAAATCAAGGTTAACAACACTGTTTCAATATGACAGATATTATTTTATTGATACAAGAACTTCAAAAACAAGTATCGCCCC